CCTGGCGTGACCAGGATGGCGTTATGTGGAGAGGCCAGGGCTGTGCACACATCCAGAGATTAAAACAACCGCTATGCTGGCCAAATTGAATGCACCTGCAGCCAGACAGTGTGCAACTGTCCTGTGAGCTTCTCATGCAAGGACGGTGACGGGTGTTAAGAGCAGCCGTGCGGAGGAGCCGCCGCGGCGGGCGGTGCTGGGGGCAGCCAGGCCCTGGCCAGGAAGTCTGTGTATAAAGCCGGCTGATCGGTCGGTCGGTCTCCTGTTGAAAGAGCTCCGAATGCCAGAGAGCTGGCTGCGTGCTGCGCACAGGGCCTGCGGGGCCTGCTCCACCGTGGGAACCGCGGCGTTCTCTCTGACTCTGGTCCCTGGCCCCAGGCACCTGTGAAGTCCCCACCTCCACAGCTCTTGCCAGATCACCTGGACTGACTTAACGCTTCCCTTAAACCCACCTCCAATCAGTGCACCGTTTACCTGGACATTCCCGAGGCAGCATCCATGACACAGCGAGCTTTATGTGTCATGTTTTTCTTTTCTTTTTTTTTCATGGAGAAATGAGACTTTTAACGGCACTCTCGAGAGCGGGCGCCCAGTGAACAGGGTCACCCGTGGGGCAAGGGACACAGTCTGTTTATTTAGTCCCTCCCCCAGCTCCTCATTGGCTGAGGACTATTTGGTCACCTGTTTTTTTAAATTTCTTTTTCTTTATTGATTAAGATATTATGGGTGTGTCCTTACTGCCTCACTGCCCCCCACCCCCCACTCATGCATGCTCTCCAGGTCCATCCATGCCGTTGCAAATGTTAAAAGTTCCTTCCATTTTACTGCAGCGTAGTATTCCATTGCATAGATGTACCACAGTTTTCTAACCCACTCATCTGCTGATGGGCACTTAGGCCGTTTCCAGATCTTAGCTGCTGCGATGAACAGAGGGGTGCATATGTCCTAGGATATGTGTCGTGCTTCTCTAACACGCTTTAAAATAAATAACTATTAACATCGATGACTATAAGGCCGCCCCCTAAAGTGTAGAGGAATGTGCCATGGAAATCACAGACTGCCTCCCCTTTCCACGTCTCACATATCAACACTGTCAGTGACGGGGGCCTCCCGGCAACACAGAACCACTGCTTCCCGCGGCGGCTCCGCCAGAGCCGTGTCCCAGAGCAGAAGGACCAACTGGTCACACCACACGGACCGAGGAACTCAGAGCGTCAGGGCTCAAAGCCGCTCCCCGGAACCCCTCATTCAACCACTTCTCTTGGCAAACAGAAGTGGAGGCCGCGACTTCCCGGAGCCACGGGGGCTCCCAGCTCCCGGGCAGCTGCACTGGCAGCGCTGGGACTGGATGCCAGGCCTCCCAGGTGGGACCTCCCGCAGCCTGGCTCTGAGGGGGTGTTTCCCGCAGGCATGCAGGGTCCTGGGGGACAGGGCGGGGGGAGCGGCTGACGCTGGGCTGTCGGAGTGAACTGTGGGAGGAGGCTGTGACTAGCAGCCTGCACGGTGGGACCGGCCTGCGTCCGCACCAGCTTGGTCCTCGCGGCCAAGTACTTTTCGTCTTTGGACACGTTGGGCAGCCTCGCTGCCTGCTGCCTCCGGGTCCTTCCTGCAGCCCGAGGGCCACCGCTTCACTGCAGGATGGCTGTGAGGACCAGATGACCCCAGACGCTCGCACCTGGCTGAGTGGGTGCTGACCCTTCTTGGCCCAGGGACACCACTCACATGGGACGGTCCCCAGGGCCGCAGGGGCAGAGCTACAGGACACTCGTCCCAGGTCGGGAAGGAGTGAGCTCAGACACAGACTTCTTGGGGAGGAGTGGGAGGCGTGAGCAGCCTGGCAGTCAGGGCCCACACCCGTCCCTTGCAGGTTACAGCTTTCTCCTACCCGGAGGAGGTGGAGGGGGGGAGAACAGGGCGGGCGACAGCAGTGAGGTGAGGCCGGTTAGGGACCACGGCAGCCGGTGGGAGGGCCCACGGTTAACTGGAACAAGCTTGAGTGGTTTAAATAGGCAGAAGGCAGCTTTTAGAGGAGGGACCTGTCGGCAGGAGCTGGGACTCGGGGGTTGGCCACCCTGTTGGTCACGCTGCTGTCTTAGGGTGTCCTCTCCGCATGGGAGCGGGCGTCCTCCCGTCGGAGAGGTCCCTTGGGTTTTCACTTGGGACTCCGTGTCAGGCCAGGGGTTGCTCCGGACGGTGCCACCTGTCCTCCCAGGAGCCTGTCCCGACCTCTCCCCACTCAGGCAGCATCCCCTAGGCAGGCGGTGCCAGGCGGGGCCCGCAGTGGCGGAAGCCCAGTGGCCACGGGCACCTCCGAGGTGCTCGGCTGTAGGCCATTGCCTTGCTAAAGTTTAGCTCCTGGAGAAAAGCAAACCCCCAACATTGAAAAACTTGTTCACCTAAATCACAGGCGCAGAATCAATATGGCCATTTCCTCTTTCAGGTGAGGGAACCGAGGCACTGAGAGAATTCTAAGTTCATAGCAAGTCAGACAGGAACAGTGATGCCCCATTTGATAAATGAGTAGTCTCTGATGTCATTCAACATTCACAGGACCGTGGGAGAGAAAGGCCCGATCGCCCGCAGACCAGCGGCTGAGTCCCGCTGCAGATGGAGGCCCCGACGAAGCTAGAACAAAATCCTCTCCTGTTCCCAGTACCCTCACCTTGCATGCATGTCTCGATGCTCAGTCCAATGGCCCTTTATGAAGCCTCCTGTGACCTTTCCATGCTCACAATCTGTAGCCTCAGGATTGGGGGCCAGGTGACGCCCGGGAGGGTACGGAGAGGACGCGTGGTCACACACAGCAGCAGGGATATTTGTGTGGTCCCCATGTTGGAACAGAGAGACCAAGATTCCCAGAAGTTGAGTGACTCACCCAAGTTCAACAGTAAGTATGGTAAAGCCAGATCCCATAACCAAGCTGTCTGATCCCAAAGCCACGGCTCCACCGTGGCTCCTCCAGGCTGCCTGACGAGGCTAAATTTAATTGACATTGTCAACTCATGGTGCTTGGCACTGATTCAATGCCAACAGGAACCCCCAGTTTGGAGAGCTGCAGGGAAGGAAATTTTGTTCAGTGCAAACAGCTCGGTTGTGACAGAGCACAATTATGAGAACAGCACGGCTGTGCAGCAGCTCAGTAGTGCTCCAGCTCAGGGATGAAGCAGAAGGGCTGTGAGGCAGCCTGGGCCAGGTGGCCCTCTGGCTAGACAGCTCTGCTCTGCAGTCCAGTCTCTCCACTCTGCCCTGCCCTGGGTCGCTCTGCCCTGGGCTGTCTGCTCCACTCTGCCCTGCCCTGGGCGGCTCTGCTCTGGTGAGAATCGTCAATGTTTCAGCTCCAGCCGAGGGAAAGTAGTCCTCCGGAAAGGGAGAGCGTTGAGGGAGCCAGAGGAGAGCTGGCTTATGTAGAGAGAAATCTCCGCCCCTGGTCCCTGATTGGTTTGCCTTCATGCAAATGAGGACTCTAAATATTCACAGTTTGATTGGTCCAAAGGAGCCATCCTAATTGGTCCAAATGGAGCCACTCTGATTGGCTGGTAAAGATGCTGATGGCGATATAGCTGTACAACTCCAATTAGATGGGGAAAGTCTCCATCCTATTGGTTAAAGTCCAAGTCCAGGAACTCCTTTATAAGAGCTTGCTCCGATGGCAACTAGCATGTGACTTGTACTCAGCCAGCATTCACCACTTATTGAATTGAAAACTGTATTTTACAGATGTTTACCCCCATCCAGTTTCAGAAAAGATTTGATAGCTTACATGGGGGAGGGAGCGTGCCGGGGGGAGGACATTTCCATAAACCGGACACCCAGATCTTGGGTTATTAATTCTGTCAACTGTGATCACCTATTTGAAATGAAGTCTCCTTCGAGTAGGTCAGCGGTTCTCAACCTTCCTAATGCCGCGACCCTTTAATACAGTTCCTCATGTTGTGGTGACCCCCAATTTCATTGTTACAAATTGAACATAATTAAGCATAGTGATTAATCACAAAAATATGTAATTATAGATGTGTTTTCCGATGGTCTTAGGCGACCCCTGTGAAAGGGTCGTTCGACTCCCAAAGGGTCGGGACCCACAGGTTGAGAACCGCTGGAGCAGGTTCTCATAACCCTATTCTTGAGTAGAAGAGGCAGGTGTGACACTCTCTCAAGGATCCGCAGTAACACCTTTCACATCTTTGAAAGTGTCTGTTCAGTGCCCCCGGGTGGCGGCTGTCCCGGAAGGGTGCTGGCCATCTCGCAGTGTTGACAGTGGGCGCCTTGAAGATCGCCCCGCCCGGTGACAGACCCTGAGGCTTGTCAGGACCAGGCTGTTCCCTTTCACCACCCTCCGATGGGCGCAGTGTCAGGTTTCCCGCGAAGCCGCCTGTTTAATCCTCACCGGCCGCCAGCGGGAGCTCAGCAGCTGTCCTCCGGGCGGCGGTGCCACCAGGCCCGGAGCTGCACCGGACAGACCGCGGCAGCGCCAAGTTTAAAGCTGTGAGTCCAGTGGGAGCAGAGGCCCCTCCTTCCCCGGCTGCGCCAGCAGGGCCGCCGGCCTTCGGACCCCTCTCCCCACAGTGGGTGCCGGGGGCCCAGCTAGAGAGCCGGCTCGTGGTCATTTCTCTCCCTTCTTCATTTGCGGTCAGATGAAGGAAAGGGCTCCTTCCGACGCCACCCCACCCCCAGGGCGAAGGCCAGAGCCCCAGGGCGAGTCAGGGCACCCGGGCTTCTGGGTCCTCCTCCCTCCTCTCCTCCCTCCCTTTCCTCCTCCCCCTCCGCTGTCACTGGCTGCACCTCCGAGGCCTGCACAATAGAGGCTCCGCCCTCCCTCTGCGAGCTCTTCGCCCGTCCGCTCCCGGCAGTCGGCCGGTCCTTGCTCCCCAGGTTCCCGGCAGCCCGCGCTGG